CAGCCCAAAACTGCCCAGAAACTTCAGGGATCCTCTGAAGAAGATCTGGCATCAAGCAGAGGGAAGAGAAAGCCTTGCTCAAACAACATTTGATTTCACACATATCAATTAAAATGCAAACCCAAACTTTCTTGCTTATTGTTGTTTTGTAACCTTATTCCATTCTAACAATGTGCACCTAATAAGCAGTAGGATTCCAACAAATCAAATGATATTTCAGTCATATCTACCCAGGCCTTCTCAAATGTCATGACATTTTTAAAAAGCCAAACAGCATTTCCTGAACATTAGCAAGTATATTACATATGCTTATTCTTACATGTTTCTATAAGGTGCTGCAAAGAAAGGTGTGGAGATAAAGGTGCCGCCTGGGGCTTACATGTACTTCCGTGCCAATGTCAAGTAGCAATGGAGTTGGCACAGGCTCCAGCAGAGTTTAAGGCTGGTATTGTGCCTGCTCCTTGAGATGCTTTCACGGTAAAGTGGACTTGGGAACAGAAAAGGGGGGAGTGCTGTTAAAAAATAAAAATAAATATTGCAACCAAAAGGCAGCTTCTCAGAGCACACTGATTTTCATTTGGATATTGGATTAAAGACAAAAACAACACAGAGATATTCATAAGCAAAAGCCAATCCTTCTTCTTCTGTGCTTGCTTTCAAAGGCAAAGGGCTACACAGTTAGATTGGACACTTTTTTGGACAGAGCTGTCCAAGAAAAGTAACCTGGGCATTTTATTTATGTACTATATTTTGCGGATTTTCAGGTGCCTTTCATTCCATTGTCCATGCACTTGGATTCTGTGCAAATGCCCTTATGCAAAATCACACTTCCAAAAGTGGGCAAATTCTCCCCAAATGCATACTATATGGGTAAAGGTCATAATGGTTTCTTCACTTCTGTGGTCCTATGTATAATTTACATTCGCAGGGCCTATTCAGACATGAGACGTACTTGCATTCAAAGAACACTGGTGGGGGGCGAGGGGGATCACACATGTTCCCAGTATCCCCAACTCCCCCCACAATTACCAACATTCACACAATTAATAGGATTTAAAGCAGACGATTGACAACTTCTGGGGTCTGCAGGCTACACTGCAAACCCACCACTGCTGAAGTTTCTATGGCAGCAGAGAAACCCAGCAATGATTGCAAGTGAAACTGCATGTCAAGTAGGCTTCTGGGAGGGTGATTCTGTTCGCAAATGAAGGCACATGCTCCCTCATAGAAATGTACAACAATTTAATAGGAGTTTGCAGAACAATCCAACAAGCACTGTTTATAATCCCAACTGTGAACCCTGCATGAGAAAATGGGTGCATTTTAGAGACAAACTTCCAAAAATGTGCACTTTTCCCAATTAAAAGTGCATTTTTATGATTTATAAATCTCACTTATAGACATGAACAAGTGAGCTTCAGGGGCAAATTCAGAAAACTTCCATGAGCTTAAGCATCATAGGTTTGCCATCACTACTCCTTGCATACCTTGCTCAAAGACAATCACCATTACAAATTTGGGGGCAGGAGGGGGACAAGCTGCAAAGATGGACATGGGGAACCGCAAGCAGACGACGTGCCATGTGTTGCCCACCATGGTTCTAAAGGCTGAATTGATGTAGACTCAGCCTCACAACTGGGAAACTTGCGCACATCATACTCCTGACTGCAGGGTGGATTCTGAGTACATTCAGTGGAAATGCATGAAGCTCGGAAGTGGAGGGGTTGCTGGGACCTTGCCACACTTCCTCAGTCCAGTCTGAGACCAATGAAGAGTCCAGCTTGTTTGCCCTTTGGTGAATTTTGCCTGGTCCTAATGAAGGCATTACCTGACTTTGAATTTGGGATTTTTCTTTACATAGCAACACACATTCCTTGGATTTGCATATTCTTTAAAAACTATAAGCATATACCCAGATAAAACTGCCCTTTCCCACGGACCACCACCTGCACGGTGTGCAGTAAAGGACTGACCCAAGGCTGCCCGAAGACCAGCAAATGCTTTGCCACACCTCTAGTCAAGCCACACAGGAGCCAGGGTTGGTTGGATCATTTTGTACCTGAGGCAGAAAATTCCACAAAAGCCTCTCCCAGGCAGTACAAGTACAGCAATCATAGATTCCTCAACCTATTGCTTCCTCAACCTATTCCTAACCATTTGCTTTCTTTTCACGACACCCAAAACCAGTTGCCCGGAGCACCAGACAGCCTGTCTCCATAAAAAGATGAAACAATGGTAACCTCTACAGCTCAAAAACAGGAGATTCTACTGAAATCTCCATCTTCTTAGCGGCAAACAGATATGACTCAACCACAAATTCAGTCTTTGTAAAACCTACACAGCTTGATCATCAGCCACATGACTGGCCACCTACACTTCAGCAGCCTCGAAGCTCAATAACCTGGGCACAGAGCGAATGGCACAAGTACAAACGAAGAAGGAAAGAGGTGGATGGAGGATGTAAATTCTGAGAACTAACCCAGTCCAACTCCTCCTAGATGGAAGCTTTCCATTCTTCACATTCACACCCACTAACAATAACTTTAATACACCAACCCTTGTGTTTCTCATAACAATGGCAGATACTTTGGCAGAACAGGAATCTTATCGGAGGAGAAACAATGATGGGTAGCAGCTACCACAACCTGTTAAGAGAAGTTTCCTTGCGCTTTGAGGGCAAACTGAAGAAAGATTAAATGAGATGGAGTTATTGAGCAACTAGTCTAATGTCATGTAGCCCTCAAAGACCCAAATATTACTGTAAAGCTGCACCACAACTGTAGGAGTGAATATTGTATTATTTCTTTAATGTTTCCAGAATTCAGAGACAGACAGACAATTTCGGAACAGAAGTAAAGGAGTAAATCATTTGCATTAAGTGATTTTGAGAGTGTGACTTAGGAAAGCATGCAACCACTAGTATCATGCAAAATTTGTTTTCCTGCCTTTGATTAAATTAACCTGGGAAATAGCCTAAAAGACACTCCACCTCCCTGTATTCTGTACTCATAATCACATATATGGAAAAGAATCCTCATAACACTCACCCCATATTTACAAGTTGGCAAAATCCTTTACTTCTCTGTAACCTCCACCTTCTGTTCCTGCAGACCATCTATTAATTTATCTAAATTCCTCAAGGATATCTACACCTGTGGACATCACTATATTTTGCAGTAGTGAATCAATTCCCTAAGTTAATTTATGTATTGAATGAAGAAAGATTTCTCTTCTCTCCCTGGAATCTACTAGAAATCAATTTCATCAAGTGTCCATGAGTTTTAGTCAGACACAGAGAAATTCCACCATGTCCAATTCTGGATCCCAATGCAATGTTCTCCTTTAGTTGTATTTTTAATATAAAAATTGGAGTTTATTTTTTATTCACAGGAATCCGCTTGATCATTTTAGTGACTGTTCTCCACCTCTTTCACAAGAAAAGATGCATGTCTTTTCTGAAGCAGGCTATCCAGAAATGGGATTGAATTTGTATAAATGTCAGCTAAAGAGAACACAGAAGTGCAGATTCTGTGCAACACAGGTGGCATCAAAGAAAAGTCAGGAAGGGAGCAAGGGCTTTCCAAGAAATGGGGCAATAAACAAGATGCTTCTCCTTTTCACTGCCTTCTGACTGCCTTAGTAACAGAGATGTTGACTCTTAGGACTGAATTTCATTTTGGAGAAGTTTTCAGTGACCACATTCCAAGAGTGAGTAGAGCTAAAGGCAGAGAAGATTTGAGTAAAGCCTAAAGGAATGGGACCAAAAATACCCATTGCTTCGAATTCTTACTGGCAGTTGCTAAACCCTAGAAGAGATATTTTGACCTTTGCGAAAAGGGGAAAAAACTGCACAGAAGCCAAGAAACTATCCGACCATTGTGTGGTTGAGGGAAATAGGGCTGATGTCAAGGGAAAATTTGATGGGTCTACTTTTAGTGTAACACTGGTGTAGAAAAGGGAGTTTCAGAATGTGCAGGAGTGCTGTGCTATGTTTTTGCACCTGGTAATCTTGGGTAAAAGGAAATAGGTAATCAGGTGGTAGAAGAATGAAAGAGGGAGGCAAAATCTCAAGGTACAAATCTGGACCAGGAAGATATTTAGAAGAAGGAAGGAAAGACTTGGCCTAGACTGCTGCAGCTGCTAAGGCAGGGGTCTCAAACTCAACTGACCTGGAGGCCGCCGGAAGTAGAGTCTGGGTGAGGCTGGGCCGCATCAAGTACCCCACCACCGTGGTGGCGGTGGGCCGCTCATCCCACGTGGCTCCCGGAGGCCGGCCCAGGTGCCGCCGGCACTTTGAAGGCCACAGGGCCCCTCCCCCATGCCCCGCCCAGCCCAGCCCGGCAATTGGCCCGTGGGCCGCGAGTTTGAGAACCCTGTGCTAAGGCATTCTTCAGTTGTATCTCTTTTATACAGAACATGTACAACATTCGGATTCATTGGTGCAGCATCTTTTCTTTCTATGAAATAGTGCACTTTAGCACGAGTCGGGCACAGGGAGCTTCCAGTTCCATATCTTTGGCTTGGCTGCTTCCAACATAGCCAAACACATGTGAAGATGCCTAGTTTATGTAAAGTCTAATTTCCCTTCTTTCTCCCAGTGACCCTCCTAAAGAAAATGAGTTATGAACTGATCCAAGAATATCTGGCCAGTGCACATCCCCTTGAACAGTATTCTCCATGACCTGACATTGCTCAAGAATGTGCCTTACATAATTCCTTACATGAAAACCTGAATGGCAGGAAAATATTATTCTAATAAAACAGATGCAGAATAACCTCTCCACTGATCTCTTAAAATACAAAACAACACCCACTCTGCTTCACTTTCAGTTTGAGAAGTTTTGAGCAACCACTTATTTAACTCATGAATGGATGATGCACTTTGGTTATATAATCTCTTCCAGACTAAGATCACTTTAATATTGTTCAATTGTTTGGCATTCACTACTTTGGCTGTCTCTTCCTATTCAATGCTTATTATCAGAAATGTGAGCAATTACCGAGACTATCTCGTCCTCCGCCGGTACGGTAGCTGCTGAGAGCGCGGCTGCTAGTGCGGCGGCCCTGGCTGCCTTCCTCATCGCTCTCTGAGTCTGAAGATTCGTAAAGTAGTTGACAGCTGCAAACTCGATAAGCGCGGAGAAGACAAAGGCAAAGCACACTGCAATGAACCAATCCATGGCAGTAGCATAAGACACCTTGGGCAAAGAGTGGCGGGCACTGATGCTCAGCGTGGTCATCGTTAGGACAGTAGTGATCCCTGCAAAATAAGATGAAAAGGAAGATGTCCGTGACTGTCTTTTTGTAGGCTTGCTAGTTCTATGAATCCCCAGACTCGCCTCCATTTGTGCCACGTACCTTTTCAGCCAATTAACTGATTTACAGCCTGAGCTCTAAGTCATGCTTACTTAAAAGGAGGGCCAAGTCATTCAGCTTGAAACTCTACGGAACTGTGCTTAGTACCACAATTGTGTGTGCTTTGCTCCAGGGATACTGAACCACAAGCCCATGGGTCAAATCCACCCCACTAGCAAAGCCCCAGTGTGCTTCCCTGGGATTGCCCGGATGTCTGGACTATCTTCCCATGGTCCCATTCTTTTTTCCATGACTTCCTTTTGTGATTTCCTACATTGCAAAAGGATGAAAAGCCTCTTCTAACCTAAAATATGCTAGTATTTGTGTTATTTTGGTCCTATGTCTTTGCATTTGGCTTCTCACTGAAATGCTACTCCCAAGAATGTCTCCTAAATTGAATTCAGCCCTTCGCCTGAAAGAAATTTGACATCCCTATGTTACTCAAACGCCTTACCGCTATCAGTGACCTTACTTCTTAGTATAGTATGCACAGAACTGCAGCCTTAGGGTGAAATCCAAAGTATATTTACTAAGAGAATCTCCACTGTCTGACCACTCCCCAGCCACAGTTTAACCCTACCTGTAATTGCTTAAAGTCACTGCCATTGATTCATTGGGATCAGTTTAACCCTCAATACTTTAATTCCTCTGTTAAAGTCCTTAAAAACAACAACCTAATTGTCTATCACAATAGAGCAGCAGGTACAATATATTGACTGAATGGAAATGAATGAAGATAATGAGAAAAAAGCATGAATAGCAGCCCCAGTTCTCATTGAAACAGATTCTTTGTTGATCCACAATGCAATGAGACAAAATTGCAGTGGTAATGCATAGAACATGTGTCTGTATGAGATAGTAGCCTATTCGTCTTTGTAGAGGCAACAGAACAAATGAAACCAATAGTCACCAAACACACATGCACATGCACGCACACACAGAAGCAATGGGAAAAGATGGGAAAATATAATGACAAAGTGCATTTTCAGGCACAGATCATAACACCGGCATACCAAAAACTGTCCTAGCTGGAACAGACTCCTTATTAATCCAGAAAGACACCTGTGAAAGGACAACTGTCATGATGCAAGGAGTATATATCTGTATCATGAAGTAGCCCATCTTCCTTTGTAAGTGGAAATAAACAGTCATTATTACGTATTCACCTGTCAGGAAACAAGTATAGCGGTGTTATAGAATCTTGGAACATTGCAAATAACCAGTCAAGTGGGGCTGTATTTAATATTATATGGTAAGAAAGCTGCATTTCGTGACATGAACCAAATTGCACAAATAGAATAAATGTGCATATTCCACTCTAGACCAGTTTGCATTTTGTGTTTGCATTTTGCATACCAGTTTTTCTAGTCATTAGGAAGGTACAATGAGCTGCATAGCGTACATTAAAGCCCTGAGCACATGAAAGGTCTATTCCACCAAGCTTTCATCCTGCCAGATTCCATCTGGCATCATCCACAAAGTTTCAAGCAGAAACCTCCAAACTCTATCGGCTAATCTTCCTTTAAAAAAACAAAACACAAAAACTGTAACTCTAAATTCGGTATCCAATTCTGCATTTTTCCCCTGTGCTCCTGCAGCACACACCATCATGCAAATGAGTGGTCTTATTTAGTTAGCATTATAGGCAGTCCCAGATCTGAAACTGAGAGGCAAAGATTGATTTGTATTGCTCATGACACCGTACTTGTCTTCAACCTAAATTGGCTTTCTGCATCACAGCAAAGCAAGTAAACCTGGAATGGAAGCAGCACTCAGAACCCCTGGCAACTGGGTTGTTAACATTCTTCCCATGTAACTAGGAGCTGGGCCCATGTGCCACTGCACATAAGGAGACAACCTATGCTGTGTGCTTGCAAAAGCACCATGCTCAATACCAGAGGAAGTCAGTGGAACTTTCCCAGAAGATTTAGACTAATCAAGCTCACTAAATGTGATCAGAAACTCAATTCAGTTACTTCAATCGCCATTTTCCAACATTAGCACTCCACACACAGCTGCACTCTTACCTGTATTGGATTTTATTGTTTCACTAGAGACTGTTTGCCCTATCAGGTCATACTGCAGAAGACTGGAAGATTCTTGTGGTATTTCCACGGAATACAATGGTCCTTTTTTCCAGGTGTAAATAATCTCACTTTTAGGATAGGCATCTGAGCCGAGAGAGGGGGAGAGAGAGAGAGATCTTTGTTATGTATTGATTGCATTTAATGTTGGGTGCCAAATGAAATAGCAAATTTGTATTTTCGTAGGCGCTGTGAGAGCACACAGTGTAGTGTGATCTTTGCTCTGTGAGCGGTTCTTCCCAGAAACAAACTGTTCCACCGTGTTACTAATCATGTCCTCCAGATTCATTCAATACTGGCTTGGAGCAGGTTATAGAGTACTTTGGCTTCTGGGGCTCCCAGTTGCCTCAATATTCCAAATGGAAAGTGAGTACTTAAAACTGTTGTGGTGAAAGACATTCTATATTGTTTGCTAAACTGAAAGCTAATGATTCAAGCAATTTCTATTTCTGTGCATGTATTTGCATGAGCTTCTGTTATATGTGCACCATTCAAATCAGTGGACAGTGTGGTCAACTATGAACGGCAAGAGGTATAACTTACAATTATTCTATATCAACATCCACAAGAGAAACACAGCGCTCATTCACCAGTCTGTACTCTTTTAGATGCCCATTATGTTTACTTTGTGTGCATATAAGCTTCATGCAGAACTTGCACCAACTGCAACACTGGTATTTAATCGGCATTCAGCTCCAATGGGTAATAGCCAAGTTAAGTTAGCTGGACTGAATCTTCAGTAGACTTTAAGTCATCAAAATCGCCTCACTGATTTCAAGGGGTTCTCAGTGCAATTAGCTTGGTCTGGTTTTGTCTATACTTTGGCTGGATTCATACAAACAGCAAACAACCCTATGCTGCTTCCACAGTGCATGATTTTTTGCCCAAACTTACTGGCCAGATGTTGACCTGGTTACCAAGGCAGTACAGCTTCTGCACTCCCCATTCTGCACCCCGCCCCCGCAAGCCTTGCATGCATCCTAGGAGTCAGGAGCATGCCTGCTAGTCTACAACACTTCCCAGCTGCCCCAGCCTCCACATATTTTTTATGAAATGAAAATAAAAAGTTTCGCCATGACCCCTCTCTCCTCCGCCATGTATTTTTGCACTGTCTCCCTACTGTCAAAAGTAAACAGAGAGATGGACCCATTTCTTGTCCTATAGAATAAAGTGAGCAATGACACATCAGTTGCTAGAGAGCTGAGGGCAGTACAGATTGAAGGCTAGAAGCAGCCATTTCCACCACTGCTCTTGACAGGGGCTCTATGGTGTTCCCAAAGCAATAATGGTAAAATGTGATTCTAGGTTCTGAAAACCAAAGGAGCCACAGTGAAGCAGGGAAACCTTAGTCTTTCTGTGGTTTCAGAAAACTAATCCTACCACATATGAATTCCAGAACTGGGTCTGGACAGCATAACAAACCCACAACTGTAAGATTTCACCATGGCTGTTCATATCATGCAAACCCACCCACTGAGTGAGTGGGTAAATGGCTGGCCAATTTAGGACAATGCCTCAGACATCTGATGGAACGTGCTTTAGTCCTCAGAAGCATGTGCTACAATAGAAGTGCACTCCTGTGTTCAATTTCCTAAAAATATGCCCCATCATTCTCAATGAGCCCCACCCAGTTCGTAAGCACGGATGGGAGAGTGCTTTCAATCTGTTGGTCTTCCAGGTGTCATAAGCTGCTGCTTTTGCTGCAACAACTTATACAGCAATTACTCTGGAAGCCAATGAAACTTAATACCATGATTCCAACACAATGCCTCCATTTTGCCAAATAGACCTTTACTTCTAGCAATATCAACAGTATACACCAGTGTGGTGTGGTGGTTAAGAGCATGGGACTGGGACTCAGAGGATCCGGGTTCTAGTCCCCGCTCAGCCATGGAGCCAACTGGGTGACTTTGGGCCAGTCACAGACTCTCAGCCCAACCTACCTCACAGGGTTGTTGTTGTGGGGATAAGATGGAGGAGGAGATGTAAGCTGCCTTGAGCCCTTTGTAGGAAAAAGTCAGGATATAAATCGGAAAATAAATAAATAATCGTAAGTCACTGATGATGCCAGCAGAAGCTACTGTATGTTTCTTTTTTCCCCTTTCAGTGTCACCAGCACACCAGTGGCTGAAAGAGATGAGGTGGGGCGTCCTTTAGGATCAATGCCTGTGTGTAGTTTCTGTATAGTAGAACAATTCTACTACCCTTTCTGTGTAGTAGAACAATTAGGTTTTTGACACCATCCTCGGGCATCATCCCCGCTTCCATATAATCAGGTAAACAAGTTCACATTCTTTCAATTTAGCCAAAGAGGAATACTGGAGCAGTTTCTACCTTTTGGACTGGCCACAAGTATCCCTTTCTCTGTCAAACTCAGCAGGAAAGAAGACTGAAAACTCAAAAGGCAGTCCAGGCAGGATGCTTTCTTTCCCCTTCTGTTTGGGCAAGAAATTCTGACGCAACTTAAGACAAACTTGTTTTCACATCCTAATGCAAACTCCTTGAGACAGCTATTTTTTGCCTGAAACAGGTTATCTTCCATCCCTAACTAGCAATTCCAGGGTTTAATATGGAATGTGAGTGCAGGTGACACAAGTGCAGTGTGGCTTGCCAAACTTCTGTCTTACCATTAAGTCATCCTTGCGCAGCACTTTCCCCAGGCAAATAGTGGAGCCAGAAAATAAGGGAGGGAACAGCATGTAACCTCTTCCTTCTTCTACACCAATCTAGCTGAACATGCCTTTACCCCAGAGTGAAGTCTACTGCTGCAAACATTGTTTCTGAGGACTGCAGAGTTTCATTGGTGATTTCCCCCAGTATGTACGCGCACACTGTGAATTTGCAGATGCATTGTAATTTACGTGCACTACTTTTCCATGCGATGACAACTCAAGATTGGTTGAAAATGGGTCACTTATATTAACACTGAAATCCAGACTTAAAGGACAACTGTTTTTCTGGCTTGCCTCCCTACTAGACAACCTAGAGGTCTAGCTTGGAAACAGTGCTAAACTGCCCAGGAACACAGAATCCCTGAATTGTTTAAATACTTCCACTTGCAGCAGGAGCTGCAAGCAGAAGCAACCAGCCCATATGAACTAACACACTCACTCTTTCCCAGAACAAACCAGGCTGCTGGAATAAGCTTTTTATTCTCACGTTGGAGTAAGCACATTCTGAAAGTATGGATTTACAGATGCTTTATTCTCTATAATTAATTATATAATGGTTGAGTGTACATGTCACAACAAGCAACCTTGTTTGATTTCCACGGCATGTTTCCACCCTTCTTGCTCACTCCTCCTGATAGTGGCACATATCCCATCAGCCACCACCCCTGAAATTCAACCCCTGGTTGGCTGGAGCAGCTCCTGCTCTTTCCAGGGAACTCTCTGATACCTCCATACTGGAACAGTCGAAACCACAATGTCATGTTTGGACCGCCAGAGAAACCACGGTGAAGCATGGAAACCACAGAACAGGCCATTCTTCCTTACTGTGGTTTCTGAAAACCAAACATACCATGCTGAAATACCATGACAGGGTTTGGACAAGATGACAGACCATCTTGCACAAGCAACCACAGTAACCTGTCAGGTTGTGGAAACCCACCCAACATATGACTAACAATGAATAGGATAAGCAGCACAGAGGCTATGAGAGTAGCAGGAACATTTTCTGCCTCTGTGAAACAATAGGTCTAAGCACCATTTTGAAAGACAATATGACATCACTATCATGCGGTCTAACTTGGATCCCAAAATCTCTACAGGTAGAGATAAAATAACATGAACCAGGAAAATATTTTTGCCTTGCCAGTCGCAACTGATGAATTTCAGGCTGAAAAATACCTAAGCAAATTATAGTCATGTGCAAATGGCCTTTCACAATTCTCCATCCTGTAAGTGGGCAAAGAACATTTCAGCTGTATTTTTTCTAAGGGTGAAGAAATTCTTCAACAATTTCTTGGAGACTGACTTTGCCACCAGCTGTGGCTATAACAGAGTGTCCTTCCTTTCCCAAAAGCTTTTGGTTCTTTGGAAACAGCAGCAACTTGGTCACCATGTGCCCATACCTACTGTCATTCCAGGGCATTATGTGGAATGGTGAGAAGTCAGCCACTATGGCGGGCAAGATGGTGGATAAAATTCTGCAAAATGGCCTTCTATCTCTAGGGGAGTAAGAAAAAGCAACATTTCAGAAAAATAAGAATGTTTGGCTCAGCTCTGATTAGGAGTTCAAACCCTTGCACAGCTTCTCCCAAATACTGCATTTCTATGGGGTGATTGTGAAAACATCTGGCCTCAAATACAAATGCATATAATCCCAATCCTTTCCCAAAAACCCATGGCAGGTACAAAGAAAATGATGGTGTGTCCAGCTCTGAGGAAGAGATGGAGATTGAACCATATCAAAACCTGCCTTACAATTTCCCCAAAGTTTTCATCCTTAATGAAAGAGACTTTCATTTTCATCATTCTCAAGATGCACTGATTTTTCTTTTTTGGGGGGGTAGGGTTTTTTAACTCTACTGTGTAAAAGATGGTGCTGTGTGTACTTGTTTCAATGTATCTCTCATTCTGCTAGCTACTTGGCTGTCTGTGCTTCCTAAGCTGAAAACGTCACCTGAAGAAAGCACTACTTTTTGGTTAATGGAGCAGGATATAAATCAAATAAATAAATACATTTCTTCTGGGCTTTAACTGAGATGCAGGTAGCCAGGGAGGCTGCAAGCCGCCAGTAGAATGACTACACAATGAAATACTTGCACATGCTTCCCAGACACATCATAACTAAGCACAAGATCCCTGCTCTAAACCTGTGAAAAACTGACTGAAATTCTTTCCACTGAAATGTTTTTTTAAAGTAATTTCCTTTCTACTAAATTGCATGAAAATGGAAATGAAAATTTCCATCTTCCAAGGATGGAAACATATTTATAAAATGCATGCCACTCTAAATTTATGTTTTACAAATTATTTAGTGTTTTTGAAAAAAATAAATCAGCTGGGTAAGACTTGTTCCTTCAACTCATTGAAGGGAACCTTGCAATTAATTAGTTCAAGTGATAATTTCATAACCAAAACAGTATAGCAACATGGATGCAGAGCGGCAGTCTCTCACTCACTGCAGGTTTGTACTGGAGCCATTGTCATGTTTGGGCCGGGGGGGGGGGGCGGGGGGGGGGGGGGGCAGCCCAATCTTTTGAAGCTCCTTCCAGTTTCTCACACACAGCAAAAGAAACGGGGTGGGGGGGTTCAGGAGGGGAAGGCGAGGACATGCAGGCCCAGTCCATGACCCAGTAAGGAGGTACTGGGAGAGGCAAGCTGCTCAGCTGGAAAATCTCCATCATTCTCACGGTACTGTTCTCCAAAGGCGAGAACTCCCCTAAGAGTGGTGCCAGCAGCCATACAGAAAGGAAGGAACCAAGCTGAAGTTTCCAGTTTGGACTGAGCTTTGCACAGGAGTCAAAGCTTCTCCTTCCAGCATTGGTAAAAGACTATTCAGAGTTAAACTGTTCTGGTAACTGTGGCATAAAAGAACATTTCATATAACTGCCTTGTGTTCTGGAACCTGAGGGAAGGAGAGACGAACTCATGACAGCAGGATACATATGGAAAGAGAAGAAGTAGATCCATACAACAGGATGATCCATACTCAGGGGTTAAGTGCATGTTGACAATCAGTTGTTGATGTTGGGTTGTTGAATCCAGCTGCATTGCGAAGCTATGGCTTGTTAACCACAAGCAACCCATGAAAAGAACCCAAGGTTTATTGTTGGGTTGTGAACTGTGGCCTGTTTACCATGGTTTGTTTTCTTGGCTGGTTTCAGACAACACAATAGCCCATGGTTCAATAGCAACATGTCATTAGCTGAAGCTGGGGGTCAGACTATATGGCCCAGGAACCCCCTTCTGACTTGCTTTGTTTCTATGTTTCTTTCCTATTTCTTCAGGGTTTTTTATTTACTTAAAAATGATTAACTCTCTTTTCCTTGACAGCCATCTGGATAATTAAAATAGTTGGCAAAATAATGTTCTTCGCAGGCACGAAGACATATTCTCAGATAATAAAGAAATGTCTTATGAGCAAATTACTAATCAATTTTATGTTAAGTCTTTATTCCATCACTACTTTCAGAAATGCACTTGCCTGATATGGCAAAGGCACACGTTTATCATAGTAACAGAACACTGTTATGGAGCCACCGATTGCTATGGCTTCCCACCCACAATACTGTAGACACTGCTACCACCTCAGGCAAAGGAATCCAAGTGTGTTCTTCCTTCCCCATTCCCCTTACAGCCACCATGGAACGCACTCCATTGAATTGGCCTCCAAGAGTGCAGCAGGCTCCTCAGAGGGGTTCAGGGAGGGTAAAGGGGGCATGTTCCAGTGGCAGAAGAAGGAGACGAAGAGGCTTAGATCCACCAATTTTACATGAATCAATTTTGTATTTGTTAATTCCGGCTAAATAGATACATGCAAGAAAATGGAAACACAACCAGAACAAGGAACAGAAGATAGTTAAAGGTTATGTTCCTAGTAAAATCAGCTGCTTACCAAAATATGGTAAGTATAAAAAAGGCAGTTGAAGACCAGTAGTGAGTCATTATATGTATATTCAATATTAAAAATATAATCCTCAGGCAATAACCACATCTGTACCTTTTACGTCAATCCAGTACCTTCCCAAAACCTGACTGGACATACCTGCAAGTTTATTAAACTCGTCTAGAACAGACAAAATCCAGAAAGGCAGAGAGAAAAAGTGGTCAGAGTCAACCAATACTAGGCCAGAGGATGGTTGCCAGTTATGTATTATATGCTATACTTTGGAAACAGGTAACTGAATGCTTCCTGATGGAAGGTTCCTAGCACTATCAGTCCAAAAGCACTGTATTCCTAGTCCATCTTTTCTTCCTTAATGAATATTTTTCTAAAAACACACAAACAAAAATGATGGACACAGCAGAGAAAAGCAGAAGGGTTACAAACTGAAGGTGGCAATGGAAAGACCCCCTGTAATATTCTGGGAAGTAGGTGGGGCATTTCCAGAAGCACCAATCTGGGAACACCAAATATGACATTATTTTTTCAGGGTTCTTAAGGCCGAATTCTGTGCATCTTTAGACACAAAAACCACCACAAATCTTAGCACACATCCCACTTATAAACTAAGCTAAAACCAATCAGAGACAAGCCAGGCCTCCATAGCTCAGTTCTGACTCATATAAATGGGATTATAGCATACTCTTGTTTGTGACTGACACTGGCATTTTGTGCTGCAATGTTTCATATGCTTATACTTTAAATAAGTAAGTATTTGTAAACTCCATGTGTTATCACTGGCCATTTGGTTTAGTTTGTAAATTTTAGTGTGATGAATTCCTTCTTTAGGGCTTGTTTTTACATGTATTTGCAGTGTATTTTCAAATTTTAATTTAATTTAATTTGAAGCCCAAACATGGCAATCAGGGCAGCCTACTGAAGTTTATGCTATGTGAATATTTCAAACAACAGTGTATCAAGAGACCTATATTCTACTAACTAAGCTTTGTGTCTAATGAAAGATATGTACTATTTGCAGACTTACAGCTCCCAAACTTCAGTGGACAAGCATGCCCATCCATAGGGAAGTTTACCAGACGCATTGGACAGTCAGCATTGATGGTGAGTCTAAGAAGGACAAGAGGAGAGTTGAGGTGTGCAGCCTGAGCTGAATTAGCGTCAGAGGAAAAACAGGAAAAGTTGGGAGAGTTCTTACCTCATTGTGTAGAGAATGGTGCCATTTTGCATTATCCTGAAAAGTTTGTTAGGTGTTGTCATATTGTGAGCAATTGACTTCTTTCCATTTCTAAAAAAGGTGTCTGGTGTCCATATTTTGCTGACCATCAAATTGTTCAGTTTCAGAATTTCTGTAGGCCCACCAAATTTCAACCTTTCATCAATCCATGTTTGCCGAAAGAAAACATCCATCGTATATTCCTACGGAATAAGAAACCAGCCAAAGATCCATCAGGGCCAGACTTTCTGTTGAAGGCTGCATCCCCTTAAAGCCAATCCATCAGCGAACAAGACCAGAACCAAAGCAGAATAGGCCCACTCTCTGGCTTTGTACCTTCCTTTCTTTTTGTTTCTAACCTTTAAACACCCCTCCTTCTCCACCCCACTCTGTGACCTTCCTCCCCAGCTGATGGACTACTACATGAGGAAAAGATCACTCATCCCAGAGGTGTGAACTGACCCCTTCCAGAAGAGTTTTGAAATTAATCTGAGGGCTTCATGGAATTAGGACAGGGGCTGCACCAGGGCTTCATGTTCCCCACCCCCGTTTCGTGGTAACAGTACATGGTTGGAAAGCGTATGTTCTCACGTTAACCACATTTCATTCACTACTTAATCACTTTATCCCTATTATCCTTAAGTAGTTATTCAAAAGAGCCAACCCATGAAGGGAAAAGACCATCCCATTTCCTTAATCATTTCATGAAAAATAGCCCCAAATTAATCAGTGACTGGATATTTTACTATCAGTAAAACAGAGATCTTAATGAGTATCCATGAAGCACAGTGTAATTTCCCAATAGTAACATCTTAAGACAGATATGTGGCACAAATTTAGGACAAGGTAGGCTTTAATAACAGTTTAGACTGAATGGGGTAAAGAAAGTTTTCCTGGACTAAGAGCCGAGAGAAAGGGTGGAAATAGACTGAATGGGTTTTAGAAGAGTCATTTTGAGATTATGTATGAGGACATGATTCCAAGGGGGTTGGTCCATGAAAAAGAGGAGACAGGCCAGCCAACCACATCATGCTGCCTGAAGCAAGGCCCAAAAGGTTTCTGCACCTGTGGACCATCAGTTTAAAAGGTCTTGCTGCATATTCAATGCTGATTCCTGCTTCATCTATCCACTCTGTCCTGTCTTTATTTATATGCCTCCTTTTTAGCTGGTGTTTTTCATCATTATGCTCTGAAATCCTTCAAGATAATACACTGGTGATGTTTTTGGTGTCAGAATTAAAACCCAACTTCTGGGCCTCTACATACTCATCAAGGCTGTTGGACCATCAAAATCTTGCTTCTATAAGACCAGTTTAAATGCATAAGATTTGCACAACAGTTAAACCCTTGTTTTGTCCTATTCCCTTCCATTTTCAATTAGGCTTACACAGAACATATTTGTAATGGTTACCCATCATGTGTTATTGCTGGAATACACACACCCACACAAAATGGCAGACCTCTGCAATGCAAAATGGCATACTGTGACAGGAAGGGTTGGGATGATAGTGCTATTATTTATATTTATGTAATGGTAATAATTACATAATGCTATACTATATTATACTTTAATAGTACCTCTAAGTGGTTCACATATGGACATTAAAAATCAACAATAAAAAAGAGGAGAACCAGTAACAGGTCCTGAAAGCTTCCAAAGTCTACTGCTTTGCATCTCTGCCATAAAGCATCTCCAAACTCTTCTTCTGTAGGTCTACTCAGAAGAAGGACTGGCTTACTCGGTGTGCACAGGACTCCAAGGCAAGGCAACCATGAAGCTTCCAGGAAAAGTGAACAGACCAGGCTGGGCAAGGTCAGGAGCAGGTATGCACTTGCTAAAGTTCATTTTACCAATTATATTTGAGAGAGATGAAGCAGACAGGAGGAGGCAGAGGGTCACTACTTGGGACTGTTCCTCTATTACTTCCTAGACACTGCCACCACATCTACAAAACTCAAGGTAACTGAAACATAAGTTAACAGCCTCTGAGACAGTTAACATGGAGGCCTGCACTGAGCAGGGGGCTGGACCAAGGTCCTCTGGCCCCTTCCAGCTCTAATGTTCTATGATTACTTTTGGCCTCTTCCTCAGGGCCACATAAAAGGAGGAGAGGGTATGTTGGAGTATTTCACAGAATACTAAACCCTAAGTCTGAAAGTATAATTCTGTGTTCCCTTTGATAGAGCAGGTAGTAATTCTGAGTAGATAAACTGGCTATAGAAAGCTTCATCTCCATGGTTTCCTATTATTTAATCCTTGCCCCCACCCCAGCCTCACTAACTTTACGGCATTATATTTAGTAGTAATAGAAGAAGAACTGATGTCATTCATATTTGTGAGATTACACATTATGCTCCATATTTCAAATCCTTTCTGAGCGCATTACTGTGCAATTTGCAAGAACTTTTCAAAATCCTTTGTAGATAGGCTCTGTGGGCAGACAAAGAATCCTAACACCAGCACTTGGGTTTGAAAAGTCGCATTTTGCTAGCTTGATTTTGACCATATCCTCAAGCATGACAAGATGACACTATACAAGTCGACACTATACACTATACAAAGAAGCCTCCTTGATTTCAGGAAGGTTTGTTAGATAGAAAAGTTCAGCCTACATCCCACCAGTTTCAGTGGGAGATGCAAACATGACGGCAGCCTTGAAATGCTTGACAACTGATAGCAGGCACAAAATCAGGAAAATTCTAATTAGAAACTGAGTCCAGGTTCTGCAACGAAAGGGGTCCTAATGTCTCTGAGCAGGAGGACTAGGGTGTGCACTATCTATAGCAAATATAAGCACACGCACACGCACACACACGCACACACACACACACACTGATGACTCACACCCTGGTTCCATAACTGAGTGCCTGCTGCCATCTGCTCTTCCACTGAGCAAAAACATTCTCTCACTTAGTGTGAAGCGCATTTGGCCAAGTTTCCCTTCCAGCCTCTGAGCTCTGTTGCTGCGTAATTCTCTGCATTCTGGTGGTGGTGCAAACGCATGCAATCTTCTTACAGCACTGATGCCCTCTTAACCAACAAACCTGCCTTCCCACACAGGCCACAGCATATCTAAAAAGCCCATTCACTTGCACTGCAATGGAAGTGTTCCGATTGCACACGTGCTTTTAGCAGGCCACCCGTTCCCACAAGCAGGCAGCCAGCCACCCACATACACACAGGCACAAATACAGGCAGCGGTTATGCAAAACAGTTTCCCCGTGCAGCCGTACATTGTGAAATGCATTGCCGGGTCTCTGCAAGGCAGAGATTGTCAAGAAGATTAAAGCGAGTAATCTGCTCTAATGACTGTCCACTCAGATGTCACCGTAATGAATCCTAGAAAACAGGAGCAACGCAGGCTTCTTTGCAACTGAGGGACTTCAGGGCTGGAAAGGGAAAAGGGGGGCGCGCACAATTCACTGTGATTCAAGATGCATGTGAACTGCTAGGAGGGGGGATTCGGGGTGCGCGTCTGGGGTTGACGGGCGCATTCTTACCATTTCCACATCTGATACAGGACCAAAGCTGGTCACGTAGATGTCCGTCTTGACTTCCGTCACCGCTCCTGGGAAGCAGTTGGGGGGAAAGTTTGCATGAGCACCAGTGGGGGCGGGGAGAAATTTCAGTTGAGGAATTGCACATGTTATCAACCAGCAACACCGAGTTGTTGAGGCGACGCTTCGCTCTCCACTGCTCTTTGCTCCCCAACAGCAAAGGCACCCCGTTGCACCCCTCTCGCTAAAAGTAACTTGATTGCACGCAGTTAGCAAAGAGATGTAGTTGTTTCTTTTCGCCAGAGCCCAAAGTAGAATACTGGGAGCCTCGAGCGCGCAAAACTTCTGCAGGAGGAGCAGGAACCAAGTGAAATTTCACCCAACGGACTGGAGGAGCGCCGGAGTTCAGCTTCCCACCCGATCCTAGTTCTCGGAAACCTTCTAGAGGGCCGCAACTCTGTCCCCACCTCCCTGGGAGCACGCGCCATTGACCTCAGCGGGTCTTACTCCCGAAGAGGCGCGAGAAGGCGCGGCTCCGTCACTTTCCCTCCGACGGCTGGAGGCCCCACATGGTTGTCTTCGAGGGCTCTCTCCCCGGAGTGAGCGCGCCTAGACTGCAGCCTCGGTTCTCTGCAAGGGTGGCTGAGTGAGGGGGCCGCAGCGTTAGACGGCCAGGCAAGGTCGGAAGCAGCTCCTTCCTTCGCTTTCAAAGGCAGGGAGGAACAGGGAGTGCAAGGGATAAGCACCTGGGTTGCCTCTGCCTCCAAAGCCAGGTCGGAGCCGGTTGTCATAGCCGTCCAAGAGCTTGTCGAGGATGCGGGAGATGTTCTCGGAGTATAGGTCGCCCTCGTCGGCCACGGCGTCCATCGCCAGCACTTTGTGGAGGCTGCAAGGCAATCAAAGAGCTCGCCCGTCACCCGGCGCGCCCTCGCCCGCCCCCGCTCTTTGCGCACGAACTTGCCTCTCTTCTGCTCATCGTGCAGCCATCCCGGACGGACCCTCGCCCGCTCCCACCTGGGCCAGCAAGGGGAGAGTCTTGGGCAACTCGAGCTCTACTTACCCTACAGTGAGGCATATCCAAGAGAGCCACCCCGCCATGCCTGCCCCCAGGACCCCGATGCCGACCTGGTCAACTGGAGCAAGTTTCAGAGCCCATCTTCCTTCGTGGGGTGGTCCTCCCCTTCTGCTCGCTCCGCACCACCAGTAGTCAACCTGAATGTTAGTTTACTACTGGTCAACTGCGGCTGGACTTGGGCTGACCTCTCCCGTCCCTTGCAGCCCCACCTTCCTCTTGGGATGTGCGCGCGCGTGGGGGGGGGTCTGCTTTTCCCCCACCGGCCGTGCAGCCTCATCTGAGTGCTTCAGTTGTGGAATTACAGTTTGAAGGGACGGTGCTCGGTCGGAGTCCAGTGACAATAATCGAATAAGGCATTAGGGGAGATTAAAAGGAAGAAATCCACTGCTAGTTTTGGCATGGAATTAGCAGGGACCCGTTAGGAAATCTGGAAAAGCGCTGGCATCTTGCTGACAGAGATTATGTTAGAAATGGCCTCAGCTTTTATTATTTTTATGGTTCACAGAGAGATTATTATGCAGCCTGTGCATCATTAGACCCTCTCTCTCTCAGTAAATTTGTTTGTGTAATTTGCAGTTTTCTCCCCACTGGATGCTAAACTGGAACCAGGCCTTATGCCCTGGTCTAGACATTTTTCCCTGCAATGGCAAATGTGGCATGCTCCCCAAACACATGTACATGGGGCTTGGAGTGAGGAGGGAATATAATCTTGGTTTTTTCGACTCCATCTGGGCCATATCATCATACTGGAAGGGACCCTGTTACCAGGACTGCCTTGTGTTTCCTGCTATTCATTATGTAAAATGGCAAGAATCACTGCCAGGCAGGTCCATAGCCAGGGAAACTGAAGTGAGCCACTTTTAAGCTGATGGGTGCAAATCAGTTTCAATCCAAGTACTTCCATTTAGGCAGGCCATTAAAAAGGCTTTGATTCATTATCTATTTGGAAAATACCGGTAGATTAACTTCTGGCATGTAATGGCACGATTTAACTGCTGATGTAATCTTAGGCAAACTGACTTTGTGATTCACTTTCTACTCAGTGTACAAAGTGGGCTTACATCGGAGTGGGCTTACACTCAATGTGGGCTTACACTGGAGGAAGCATGGTTAGTATTGGACTATAAGGACCCAATTCAACATGTAATCAAGCACTCCTGAATTTGAATAATCCCAGTTTATTTAATCATAATGATTTTTATATCTTTATCAAATTAAGATTTCAGGGCATAGTATAATAAAACAACAACAAGTATTAACAACAGATAAAAACAAAAACCAGCACTGTCTATGGAGACACCAGTGACATTAATTGCCAGAAGCGCTTCCTGCAATTTAATCAGGTTTGTGGCCCTATCTGGAGAAAGCTGATCCAGCCATAACAGTACATTCCTTGGTCACTGCATGAATTTTATACGGGGCTGCCCTTGGAGATAATTCAGAAACTGTAACTGGTAAAAATGCAGCATGTAGAAAGGTGGTGGGAATGTTGAATGTATTCAGTATGGATTGCATTGACTGCCTGTTTCCAAGCACGAATCAGGGGCTCATGTTGATCCTTAAACCCCTATTTCAGGAATGACAACTTGCCACTCTTCAGATACAGCACATCCATCCCAAACAGGTACATTGTTAATATCTTTACATTGTATAGTCTGTTTTTCTTCCTCTTACAAGGTTCTCCTCCATTCTGTTTTGTCCTCACAACAACCCGGTGAGGAGTGGTCCACAATCATACCGTGAGATTCATGACTGGGTGGGGACTAGAACCTGGATCGCCCAAGTCCCAATCCATCATTCTAACACAGCACCACACTGGCCCTCATTAGCTACACAGAAAGGGGTAAATTATTTTGTTGTTGTTTAAAGAAGAAGAAGGATCAATATGAAGAGCAAATTGCAATTGAGAGTATTTTCATTCCACTACAAACAATGGTTTGTGTCCAAACCTGCCGAAACCACTGCCACAGACTGGAACAGAACCTGCTGGCAGAACCATTTTCCCTCCCACCTGGAAGCACCCTGTATACTTCCACATCAGCACTGGTCAACCCTCAGGGACACTTGCCGGGGGGGGGGGGGGGCTCAGTGAGGAGGAGATCAAGGCAAAGTCTGGTCAAATAACCATGGCCTTAGGCCTGTATGTTATTTCTGGAGGCTTCTAATATGCATATTGCAAATATCCCTTTCTCAGCAAATCAGGTTTGGGTTTATTGCATCATCCAGTATGTTTTAGAACTATTGGTCTTTCCCCACTGCTTCTGTTGCTCACAGCCCAACAGTAAACTTGCACTGTATGCCTTTCAGTGATATGGATGCTTTGTCTGACCCTCTCTTACATTACTCTGCTGCCACAGGGATAGAACAGACTATTTGAATCAAAATAAACAGGTTTTCTGGGACCTGAATTGATGCATCTAGTTTTGGAAGGACACGCATTCAGGATTACTCTTTTAGCAAGTTTGTTCTTCTAGATCCAATTAAAAAGGTAGAACACAGGCCCTTCAGGCCCTGTGCACCAGGCAATCGGATGTGTATACATTACTGTATCATAATATTCCAAGAAGTGAAAATTCATTCTTTAAGATCTAAGGGCTTGGAGGAGGGGCAATATCCTTGAGTCCATCAGCAAATATACAGATGGCAATGAATGTATCCTTGGGCCTGTGAAGATTTATTTGTCATTGGACATATAATCGTAGCAACTGGGCTTGCTGGGAATTTTTACCACATTGTTTAAAGAAAACAACAGTTTCAACAATCAGTGTAAGATAAAGTGTATTCCAGCAATTTGTTGTAAAGTTCACTTCAAGTGCCAGTTGCACAATTTGTATTGATTCTCTATAAATCTTTTAAGTACTCGTACAAAGCTTTTCATTGTCCCAAACATGCTTGTAGATATTTATACAGCTTCATTACTAAATGGATGAGCACAACAATTAGCCAGCAGTATAAATCTGTTCCTCTGGATTCCAGAATATTGCCATTTTAGCTGCTGACTCTTGAAGATAGAGGCAGGAAGTAGATCTGGATCTATTGGTTGGCCTCTGGATGATTCACAATAGATTGACCATGATTTCAGACTCTAAGTGACTTAACAACTGTAGAACCCTTCCGTCCTAAATAGACTATTTACTTCTTACATAGCTATCCTCCTCCATTCCATTTTATCCTCACAACAACCATGTGAGATAGGTTGATATAAGAGTCAGTGGTTGGCCCAAAGCCGCCCTGTGAGCTTCTTGCTTGAATGACAACCAGAGAATCCCAGTCCAACATTTTAACTGCTACACCACTGAGAACATGTAGAAAATTTGGAGTATCCTGGAGGAATTTGCATGCTGAAAGACTGTGAGGTTCCTTCATTTCTGCAGTGCAATGAAACTTCTGGACTCGGGAACCATTATTTGCAAGGATATTTCTTCTACACCAAGCCCTGTTAGGTGAATTGTGTGTTCTGTCAAATAAACCAGATTCTGCAAGTTGGAATACTCCTTCTCCTGGTGTAACACACCTGAAATTGAGTGCTATTTTTGTGCCTTTATTTGCCATTTTATTTGCATCTTTCCCAAATTACAAAACTGTGTCTGTACTTAACACTTAATGCCATTAATTTGATTTTATTATTTATTGTTTTATTTATTACAAACATTTGTATCCCATTCTGCACAAGCGCTCAGGACAGCTTACACAGTATGAAATTACAATAATACAATAATAAAATCACAATTATTAAAAACATGTAAAATTGAACATTATAAACTAAAGAATAAGAAGGGAAAAATAAAATAGGAAATGCAACTGTGAAAACAGAAAAGAAAACAAAAAATCTTAAAATGTCTAAAACCCTTGATTATTAAAATGATGGTTGAATAAAAAGGTCTTTGCCTGGCGCCGGAAGGAGTTTAACGGCACCAGGCACACCTCTCTGGGTAACTCATTCCATAGTCTGGGCGCCACTGCGGAGAAGGCTCTCCTCTGGGTAGACACCCTCCGTACATCAAGGAGTGTTCCCGGAGCAAGGCCTCCCCTGCCAATCTTAAGGGGCATGAGGGCATATAGGGAAGGAGGTGATCCTTCAGGTATTCTGGACCTAAGCCATTTAGGGCTTTATAGGTTAATACCAGCACCTTGAATTGGGCCCGGACTTCAATTGGGAGCCAGTGTAGCTGATAGTGGACCAGAATTTTATGAGAATAACCGGCCCCCAACAGCAACCTGGCAGCTCTATTTTGTACCAATTGAAGTATCCGGACCATTTTCAAGGGCAGCCCCAAGTAGAGTGCGTTACAATAATCCATAATTTTGTTTCTTTTGTAAACTCATTCACATTAATAGTAAATATTTTAAATCCCTTTTGTTTTGCCAGTGTAAGGATGGAATCTTATACACCTTTAGGAAGAAATACAGGCCTGCAACTACCAGCGTGCCCCAACCAGCCATGGAGCATGCTGAGAGTTATAAGCCTTTTTTCTGGTCTAAATGGTTTTCTTCCCTGTTTTTTCTGTCTTAAGGCTCATCTCATGTATGTGTGTGTTGCATTGTGAAAGAGCGCTGCCTTGCGGCATTTACGTACATTAATGCCCTTCCAGTGTCAGGAGAAGACTTTCTATTATTGTTCTCCCAGGTGTTTAGATCACGTATTAATTTTGTTTAATTTCAATCGGATATTGATATAATTATCTCAGTCTCCTCTTTATATGACAGTTGGGGCATAATTTAGCTCTTGTAGGATGGTTTTCATTCTCTGTGTGTTTAAGTCATAGGATGGTGGCAGGTATTATATTTTCTGTTCTGTTCCTGGCCTGTGCTTTATTTGTTTTTAGCTTGGTTCTACTTGGTTGCATTGTAGATATTTTATGTTTTGCATTGTTTTCAGTAGCTTAGTTGTTCATTGTCTAGAAACCCTAGGCTATATAATAAACATGCAATCATGATGCTTAGGGATTTAGAGAAAGTCAAAGAAGAGGACATTGATTAATAAACCAGACTGCAGGTGCCCAATTTGCAATCATCCCGCTAT